TACATTAATAATTAATTTAAAAATTAATATAAATTATACCATATAAACTAATAAATGACTCTTAAAAAATTTAAAATTTTATCTCCTTTAACATAAATTTCTAGCTTTATCCCTAATTATAAATAGGGTACTGGTTTGCGCAATTGTATGTACATATAGAAAAGTAGGGGTAGGAGGGATGACATCACGGCAAAAAGTGCAGAATCCAATAATAGAGTGCAGTGAAGAAGCTGGAATAGAAATGAGCTGCAAGGAATTGACCGAGAAGAATTTGGGTAGTGAGCCCAATACACAAAAAAAAAGCCCAGAGGTGGAGGAGTCCACAAATATGGGTCAAGCCCATATAAAGACAGTAAGAAGGAGGGCAAATCTGAATAGCAAAGAAGACAATTACAGTAACTCAAATGACTCAGACGAGAGCAACAAAGAGGTGGGTGAGGATGTGTTCTGGAAAGGCTTCGAAAGGGAGAAAGGGCGACTAGAAGACTGGATGAGCAAGCAGATGGGGAAGATGGCAAAGAAAAAGAGAAGGAAAGTCAGGAAGTGCAGCTCGTTATATTCAAACACAGGTGTAGAAGTCGCAGGAGCAGAAGGAAGAAGAGGAAGAGGAAAACAAAGCATGCAGCCGACGGAGAGGAAATTAACACCAAAATTTTTGCCAAATCCAAATGGGTTAGTTGCGGGTGATTCAATTGGAGATAGCAACATTCAGAATTGTAATAGATTTCTGAAGAAAAAGATGCAGAATCGGCTAGCAAAGGAGATATGGGACTTGGCGAAATAGCTTGGAGCGGTGGCGGAGGATGACGATGAGATGATTCAAAGAATTGAGGAGCTAGAGGAGAGGGACAGAAAAGCAAAAAAAGACATGGCATACCGAGATATGGGTGTCAATTCGAAGGTATGTCAAGATACCAATGATTTTGCTCTCATATAATATAAGGGGTCTCGGAGGGGTCGGGAAGAAAAGACAAGTTAGGGAGTTAGTGATCAAGGAAAGAGTAGAGTTTCTAGCTATTCAGGAAACCAAATTAGAGATGGTTGATAGGAATATTTGTAGAAGGGTTTGGGGGACAGAGGATTTTGATTGGGTGTCTAAACCGTCAAATGGCATGTCGGGGGGTCTATTGTGTGTTTGGAACTCTAAAGTGCTCAAGAAGGAAGAGGTTCTGGAGGGGGAGAACTTCATTGGGGTTTATGGATTATGGGGGGAGGATAAGCTACCTGTGAACATCGTAAATATTTATTCACCTTGTCAGTTAACGGGCAAGAGAGCCTTATGGGAGGAGCTGCAACACTTGATGAATAACAGAAGGGGGACGTGGTGCTTGGCAGGAGATTTCAATGCTGTGAGAAGAGCAGAGGAAAGGGCAGGATGCACTAGAATTTCTGGAGAAATGAGGGAATTTGATGAATTTATTCATAATGCTGAATTGCTTGACTTGCCTTTGCTAGGGAGGAAATACACATGGTATAACTCAAATGGGCAGCACATGAGCAGGATTGATAGATTCCTGTTATCGGAAGATTGGATAATGGAGTGGAGTGATGTGAAGCAATGGGGATTAAGAAGGTCAGTATCGGATCATTGCCCTATTTTACTGAAGAATGAGAAGGTTGATTGGGGTCCAAAACCTTTCAAATTTTTCGATGCTTGGCTGGATCAACCAGGTTGTAAAGAGGTGATTAGAGATGTGTGGAATCACAAAGAGGTGAAGGGGTGGAAAGGTTTCAAGCTCAAGGAAAAACTGAAAAACACAAAGCAAGCACTAAAGGAGTGGAGCAGGAAATCGATAAATGAGGTGGATGGCAAAATTAAAGAAGCTGAAAATGTGATAGCTGAAATTGATGAAAAGGGTGAGAAGACTCAACTGGTGGCAGATGATATTGAAAAGAGGAGAATTAGCTTTGTTGATTTATGGAAGAATCTAAGGATTAAGGAGAGGATATGGCAACAAAAGTCAAGAAAGATGTGGTTGAGAGAGGGAGATGCGAACACTAAATTTTTTCATAGATGCGTGAAGGGAAGGTGGAGAAGAAA